CGGCACCCGCTGGCGCGGAGTGCGGGAGGGGAGGGCGCCAGCCGGCAGCTCCTTTCCAAGCCATCCTTCTTCAAGGTGAAGGGGAGACGTGGAGTCTTCTTCAGAAGACATCTTTCAAGAATAAGTAGTGTGGCTTCGGCTACAAACTTTCTAATTGATAGGGCTTTCTTCTAATGGAGATTGACAGTTTTGTCCAGCCAGCTGAGCAAACATACAGGAAAAGCACAGCTAGTAATTGCATGCGCTAGAACTTTGTATTTGCATTTTTGTGACTGCGGTAGCAGTTTCCGCACACATGTGCATACAGAGTGCAGTGAGAAAAGGAAGAGAGCGCTTGTTCCTACTCTAGGTATTAGGGTGGAGGAGTACCTTTAAAGTTGACACTTCTCCTGGGGTAAATAGGGTATTTAAATAGGTAATAAGTGTTATCAGTGGTGGTGCAGAAAGCAGCAGGATAGAGGTGGTTGTTCAATATGTTGTATGTTCCATTTTACTATTGTGGAGGTTATGTGTGTCTAGAAATATATTTTACTCGCATTGTTTCTCCCATACCTTGCCTTATTCTAGGTAGTCAAGCCACATACTCCATTAATTAAATTCCCTGACAGATTGAGTGGTCCCAGACCTAAAAGTAAGTATTTCAACTGTAGATCCAATCTGCACCACTTTTTTTTTTTTTTTTCTGTGTTAAGTGTTTTATTTAAGAATTGGCACACAATTTTTCTGTTTCAACAATGCAAATCAACTGATTTTGAGCAGGGTTTCTGAAACATGGTTGTTTTAGTTGAAGGCAGCTCTTTCACTCTTCAGACTGTACATGGGAATACACATAATACATGCATGACTTTATTTCTTGGTCAAGGCAGATTCAGGTGTTTTTTTCCCACTTACGTATAAAGTCCCATTTTTTCAAATACTAGTATTTGAAATGATTATGCCCAAGTTAGTTTGTATCTGCAGAAATTATGATGCATTTTCCTCATCTTTTCTTAGTTGGAGTGTGTGCTGTCTGCAGTATTAAAACCATGATTATAGCTGTACATTTTAAAAAGCATTTCCTTGTGCTACTAATTAATGCTAAGAAAAAAATATTAATTGCAATCTTTGACATTACTTTTTATATGTACATTTATGTTGATACTTCCAGGATTCCAAATACTGTTACATTTAAATGTCAAAGTTACATGAGCAGTATTTTGTTTTAATACTCCTTTTGAGTCAGCAAAGCATTTTAAACTAAAGTAGGAGACATCTGAAGAAGCTCTGTTTCAATATTCTCAATTCTTTATAAATGATACCACACCGTTATGTGCCACTGCATTACCACGTTTGTGACTTAGCTTTAAGTTTAGTTTATTCATTAACATTCCAAAATATCTACAGTGCATATCAGAACTTTCCAGGAACTATTTTCTGCAGTAATTTTGTCAGAATTCTGTATGCTGTGCACAGTTTAGCCAAATACCCCACCTCTCATGCCAATGAACTGCTGTCTCAAGAGGCTTGAAAACGTGTTGCTTACCTCCTATTTAAGTCTGCATCAGAGATTTTTGTGATTATATCTTTTGAGAATGTTAGACTTTTCTACCTTAACCAGGTTCTGCCATCTCACTGGTAAATTGCGATCTAACTCATTTTGCTTGAATACTGTAGCAATAACTGTGTTTCACTGTACTAGGCTGTTGCTTCTACGTAGCTGAACAGAGCTCTGCTGGTAGAGATTGAACTGTCAGGGCCTGGATGCTTGAAAGGCCAACCAAATTACTCCTGCAACATGATGGTCTCAAACAGAGAAGGGGAAGATGTAGTAGTGACTGTATCTGACCTAAAGCAACAGCAGTGGTAGATCTGGTACTTTTGAGACTTGTCTTCTGGTGTTTGTAATTGGCTAATGCATATACTCCAGCTACACTTCAGACTGAAACATAGAATAGAGGAAAATCCTTGGCAAATCTCTAGACATTTTTGTGGTGTGTGAAACAGATTTGGAGAAACCATTTCTTGGGTTTTTTTCTTCTATAAGGTGTGTTATTTCTTGAAATAAAAATACTTCGCCCCTGTTCAAAATACGTTTGTTCTGATGGGCTCTCTTCCTCCTTGCTTTTTGGGACCTTCCATTGTTCCTCAACCATCTGATCAACTCGGGACTTTCAGTCTTCTGACTGAGAACTTCTGAATATGCCTCACAGTGGTGACTTTTTTTTTATTGTAAACCAATAATGATTTAGTCATATTGCTGCAGGTGTTTGATGCCCCAATCCTGCCAGTGACTCAGACCCACTATGGCTAAAACTGGCTCCTCTCCTTTGTCCTCACTGGCCTTGTTAGAGGCAGGAGGGATTGAGGCAGGTAGCACTGTAGTATTTTAACTGCTTGCATTCTTTGACTCATCCAGTCTTGATGCTGCTTACATACAGTCCCACTCTCCCAGATGTTTAGGTGTTGCATTTGTCTAACTCATTTTTCAGGAGTACTGAGAGGGATTTCCCATGGGTGTTTTTACCTTACATATGGTGCTCTGGGTGCTTAGGAAGTAAATGTACTACTGTGAGACTCCATCTTGCCTGGTGGGGTAATTGCGTGTTTCTGTGTTACAATCAGCCACAGTGGGACAGACCTAAGGCTTCTGGTGCTGACTTGGACAATGCCACCCTTTTGTCATCTCTTCTCCTATCCTGAAAATTAAGACAACTTCTTTAATGTGAATTCCCTAAGCCTAGCTCCTGGCCCTCACCTGTGCAGTGCTTCATGTACTCCGTGGTCTGTGCATTCATTAACATTGATTGTTGATACCCAGTATGTGGTGGGCATTCCTCACATCATTAAAAAATTTGATATGATGCCATTTTAAAATGTTGGAAATGGGTACAACACTGCATTGCATGTTGTAGTATGTTTTTTCACTTGCCTGACTTCACAGTCACAGTAAATAAGAAGCATCATCTCAGTGGATCTTAGTTATTTATCTTATTGATCTTTCTACCCAGTTGCCTCCACACACTTAATGCTTTTTCTTTATGTACAGCTTCCCAGTGAAAAAGTCTGTTATGATATATGCTGATTTATCTTCTGTTCCTGCATCAGTATTTCTGCCACTTGAACATGCTTTCTCCTACTGTCAGAATTTTTTCACTATGCTCTTAATATATTTAAGAAAAATAAAAACATGCTGTGAGAAGTAGAATGTCTAAATCTTTTAAGTATTTGTTACAATGAAGGTAACTGTTAATAACTGGTAATTTTTATTTGCTGCTTATTAATTCATTTTATAGCATTGATGTATTTCTGTAAATGGTTTTGTAATCTGGGTTTCAGTACAGGAATCTCCACCAGCAAGTGTGACATCTCTTCATGCTTCAAAAGCACAGGAGTCTCTAGGAGGCAGACCACCACCCTCTGTTAGTAGAGTACAAGGTACACCAGACACTTACGAATTAGCAAGAACCTTACCTCAGAAATACAGAAGGAAACTTATGACAGATGAAGAGATCGGCTATATTCAAGTAAGTTTCATTTATTAGTGTGTATCATCTCTATGCATGTAGCATTTAGGTTCCTTCTATACCTTTTTCAGTTTCAGATAGTTTACTACCTCATAATTCTTTCTATGTACGTGCTCTAAGCTTTCATGGCTTTGATGCACAATACCCAAGCTACAAATTCTCAATACTGAAGGTACCCAACTCTCACTAATTAGCAGGTTGCATATTGCTGGGTAGAAGGCTAGGGACATAAAACAGACATGCAGATAGCTGGTGATAGTCACGGCCTGCATTAATCACCCTCACTGCAGCTGTTTTGTGGCAGCTGTTTTATGTGTCATTTGAATGTGCTGGATGGGAGGACAGGAGTCTGTCCTTACACCAGTGAAGGCTGTAAGTCCAGACACTTCTCAAACTACTTTTTATAAGTTACTTATTAGTGAGTTAACTCTTGCATTTCTAGTAGTGGAAGCATTTCATTAAACTTGATACAGATATTTTCTGCAATATTTGCAAATAAGGTATCATACATGAAAGGCAAGAAAACCTGCTCTGTAACAGTTCTCTGCTGCAAACATTGATGCTTAAAAAGGGAGAGTGCACAAAATACAAAGAAATTGTGAGATGGTTGTGAGTTTGACATGAGAAGAAGCTTGCATAGCTTTGTTAAATGATAAGGACGCTCTCAGTGCAACCATGTTAGTAGAGGAAATCAGTTTTTCTGTGTGTTTGTGGGTACAGTATGATAATTAGAAGTGAATGAGTTGCTTCCCATAGTAATACACTCCTTGATCTCTGGCATAAATTTTCTAACAGTGAGGTAAATCATAAGATAATTTTGTTGGGAAAATATGAATTGCATACTTTTCTGATTTCGCATAAAGATTGTAATGGCTGACCTTGGCTTTGGTTTTAATTTGGAATAATTGTACGTTGGAAAATAATTCTTAAAGTTATGCTCTCTACTGCTGTGATCCCCAGAGCTTTCTAAAGCGAGTCAAAGTCAGGTTTCTTCAGACAAGAAGTGGATGCAGCTGTAATTGTAGGTTGCATGTGCTGATCTTTTTGTATCCTCCTCTGAGAAAAAATAAGCTGTTAGCGGTGGATGCTGGTATTTGACACTCTGCACGTGTTCTTATATAGATTAAAAATCAACGTGTACATCAGAAATTTAAACCAGAACACTGTGTTAGGCTGCAACAGTGCAAAAGATTTTACCTCCATTTCCTGTTCTTTTAGTGGAATATATTTAACTCTTGATTTTCTTTCACAGCGTGGAGGTCCAGAATAAGTGTGGAAGATAGTTCATGAGCCACTGTTGGAGAGTGAAGTATTGTATTAAAAATAAAGACATTTCTTTTAAGATTAAAAGTGATGGTATACCAATAGCTTTAATAAAATCTTGTATGGCAGGCAAGAAGCCTGACACAGTACACTGTATTGATCTGTGATTGAGGAGGGTTTTCTGTTGATGGCTATCTAGCAATTGAGTATACTTGATGTCCACACCATTAAAATGTTTTCTAATTAGCTATTTGCACGTTTGACCATATAACTAAGTCATTTATTTTTCTACTTCAAAAGATACGGATGTCTCATGAGGAAC